GCACGTCAGGGTAGTCCGTGGTTGGACATACGTAATACATGTCCCAGCCATCTCAACTGATGAAATCTCAATACTTCATCAATTGACTTGCCATCCTTACCTACAACCCGTTTCCTAACAACTGCATTAATTACTCGGTGGTCCCAGGATATACGAGCAATATTTCGAAGATACCTATGATCAAATATTAGTAACCTACGTATATCCTCTACTCTTACCGGCCATGTTTCACTGCCATAAAGTAGGACGGAACGAACTGCTGCGCAGTAAACACGTCCTTTGGTTGGTAGACGGATACCTCGCCTACGCCATAAATGACGCAAGTTGGTGAAAGGTAGTCGAGCCTTCTGTATCCGTGCTGAGATTTCGTCACACACCAGACCACAAGGGCTGATAAGACTTCCAAGATAAGTAAAGCGATCGACACGCTCAATTACTTCACTCCCTATCATTAGTTCGGGTGTCGATGCAACCCAATCCTGAAGCAACATTTTGCATTTCGAGGGAGAGAATCGAATGCCGAACATGCTTGCATTGTTGCTTAAAGTAGTCAGAAGACTCTGTATTTTGTCAGCGTCTTCACCAAATAAAACTATGTCATCGGCATATTCTAAGTCAACAAATGAATCTCCCGGTAGAAGTTCAACCCCTAGAAATCTAGATGAGGAAAGTATAATCTCTAAAAGCACGCCGATGACAAAGTTGAACAACAATGGAGAGTGGACAGTCCTGACGAACACCACTTGAGGTGATCAATTCTGATAACAGTTCGCCATGAGCTCTCACTCTACCAGTTGTGTTCGAGTAGAAAGCCTCTATAATGTTAATGTATTCTTTGGTACTCCTTTCGGTGACAAGCACTGCCATAGAACCTCACGATCAACAGAGTCGAATGCTGCTTTAAGGTCGAGAAATACTACCATTGTGGGGCGTCTGAACGTATGTCTGTGTTCTAGAACCTGACGCAGTGTGAATATCTGGTCTATACAACCACGTCCAGGTCGAAAACTAGCCTGGTTTTCTCTAGTCTGCTCTTCACGAGCTTTCGTTAGGCGTCGAAGTATTATTGAAGCTAATATTTTAGACACTATATCAGTCAAACTGATTCCTCTGTGATTGCCGCAAGAGGACTTTTTTATAGAGCCCTTTTTTATAGACTGGCACAATCAGTGATTGAGACCAATCAGATGGGATTACGTCCAGTTCCCAAATTCTACCTAAGACCTCAGTTAATCTCACTGCTAATACTGGACCACCATCCTTAAAAATCCCAGGGGTGAATCTGTCAGGGCCTGCTGCTCTCCCTCGCTTAAGATTTCCTATAGCTTTATCAACCTCGTAAAGAGTTGGAGGATTTACATGAACTTGTCATTCAGGTCGGCTAGAGATCGCGGGAAACCGAAGTGTGACTGAAGGCCAGCTGAACTGATCCCTAAAGTGTTCTGCCCATCGATCTTATCTCCTGGATTGAGAATGAATAACATATCCATCTTTTTCCGAGATAGTTTCGCTAACAGTTAGATCCATAATACCGGTTTCGATGACAAGTCTGAACAATTGTCTGATGTCACCTATTGCCGCTTCCTTTTCCATCTCTTTTGTTTTCGCTACCCACCACTGTTCGCGATCATTGCGTAGGCTTCTTGTCAGCTTGTGCTTAAGCTGACTCCCCTCTTCATTATGTTCAGTGCCAGGTGGAATGAGTTTCCGAGCATCTATCAGTGCGATAGATGCTGCTGAGATCCAGTGTTTCTCCCTAACCTTGTGGTTTACCTTACTAGCAGATATCGCTGCTGTTTCCACAGCTTTTCGGATATCATTCCATGCTGCTTCGGGGTGGGCATCACGTAAATGGCTGCCTAACTGTCTTCCTAGTTGTTCCTGAAATATACTCTTAGCTTGACTATCATTAAGTAGAGCCCTAAGAGGTTTCCTTGCAGCGTCTTTCCTACGTCCAGTAAGACGCAGGCAAATACGCGCTCGCACTAGAGCATGATCTGAATCTAAGCATGTGCTCCAGAATGAGCGACAGTCTTCTATCGAACCCCTCCATCGGTGGGGACGAATTCGGGGGTCGCCATGTCAAAAGATGTTTTTCCTTATGCTTAAAGTTAGTATTTGCAAGGAACAGGCGATTATCTGAGCATAGCTGCAAGAAACGGTCGCCATTATTTGTTCTTTGAGCCACGATGGTATAAGATCCACACAGGTGTCTTTCCCTATCGCTTAGTTTACCTACTTGAGCATTAAAGTCACCAGCTACTATTACTACATGAGCTGGTGGAGATTTGTAGCTCAGGTGGGTGATTTTGATGGAGTTTTGCTTTCTGAGCTGGATGGTTTGGCCGTGGAGCTTTCATCGTTCTTCTGAACATCATCAGCAGAAACTTCAGATAGAAGTGAAGTGTTCGAATTTCTCTAGTCCAAGAGAGCTGGTTCGACCCTAGGACTCAATGCTATATATACACCAGCGAGACCACGGGAAGCAGCATCAGGACTTCAAGATACACGAAGCGTGAAACGAGATGCGTCTTTATCTTGATATGGTGAGGTCAAATAAATGACACTAGTCGAATCCTGTATGCGCGTTTCGGAGACGCAGCACACATCGATGACGCGAGATTCTAAAGTCCTAGCTAAGGAAATCTGTTGTCGTATGTGGCATATTGTTCGGACGTTAAAAGCTCACACTACCCTACAGTCAGCAGTACGACTTCGCCCTCAAACTTTGAGTTGCTGCTTTTAGTCTTACCGTTCTGCAATCGACCTGACTGGCATGGTAGAACCTACAGGAATATATATTCCAGCTAATATAGCTTAGTTGGGTCATCACGATAGGCAAGCCCGACCACCACGTCAAGGTAGCAGCTACGGACAGAAGAAAAAATCAGTGATATATTCACACGTCGCTCGTCAAAAATTAATGAATACAGAAATTAAACAAAAAAGGAAACAAATTAGATGAAGATATAAAAACGCTTGTTTGTACTGAACAGTATCATGAACTACATTAACGATAATGAGTTGTTAGAAGCAAATTTGGTTTGAATATTTCGACATTCTCACATGTTTGAGGTTAGGATAAGTGTATCGAAATGTTATTTCGAGAGTGGGAAAGATAAAAGTGGAACAAAACCCATACTCATGAGATTTAAGTAAATATTTATAGTCAATATAGGGTTGTGAAGATTATTGAGTTTAGATTGATACCATGAATGGATCTATGTTACACCACCATTGAAAACCTGGAGGGCTATTTTGTACTAGTATGGGACCCTCAAAAGTGCGTATCCATGGTCCCACATGTGGGGCTTGAAGGTTCTGGGCCTAAAATTGATCCATTCATGATGTCAATCTAAATATGTATAACCCCAGCGAAAATTACACTCTTGCATGCAGCACGCCCACTGAATGAGCAAACTTATAGATTTGCACTAATTCAATTTACAAGAAAGGATGGTAATCCTTATATATTGATTTGGATTCAAATGTGATCATTCACAGAAAAATCTTAAATTTTTAATGCATGTATAATCTGCATTATCGGATATTTGGCCCAATTAATTTCCAATTATGTAAATAATGCAATCAAACTACTTTTTAAAGATTTTTTAAAACTGAATAATCGTAAACATTAACCATATTTACTCATTATGAAAGGCGTACAAATTATTGCAAGGCAGTATACTGGAAGAAGATCGAAACACCCCAGCCCTTGGTACGTTTTTCTTTTTATCTATCCTTTGAAATATTAAGATTCGAATATCTTATAAATAATAGATGGAAAGAAATAGTTGTAGCAGCTGAACTGGTAGATATAAGATATTGAGAAATAAAAACATTTTTAAAATTCGTTTTAAATAATTACAATTTGAATGTATGCTAAAGGGATATTTATTATTGTAGCATCGTACAACTTTTGCTGAGGATTATTTACTGTACCAAAACTTATATTACTAAATAAATCTACTATTATTGTCAGTTATTCCTATCATATAACTTTAACATGGTATATTAACAAATACAATTATTCGTGTTTCAAACATCAAACAGAGTTAAAACTCGATGATTTGAGTTGTTTTTTACTCATTCTGTTTATCAATCATTGGAAAATACAAACATCATAATAAGATATTTGTCGTCTCACGGGTTAAAAACACTGACTGCTACTACAAATTTGTCTTATACATCACTTAAAAATTATACGCGAAAACGACTATACCACTGAAAGTCTTGAAGCTGATTGAGATAAAGGTAGAACATAACTCCAGTGATGAAGCGAACAAAGGAAGACAATCAGTAAGAATAAGAGTTTATTTCCTCAACAAAAATGCAAAATCCATGCACTCCAAACAAAAAAGAGAACGAAGTAAAAACTAACCTGTACATATATATAATATGGGTGGTGTGACAAAATAACATTATTGATAATAATAGTAATAATAATGATTGTATTATCATTATAGAAACACAAGCCCATCACAGTGCAGCAGATAATAAATATATTGCCTAATAGTAATAAGTGATAAGAATAGAATAAAAAGAAAGTATTCGGTAAGTTATTTATATAGATACACATGAGCACATAATTTGTTAATCAATGAGAAACAGTCTAAAACTGCCAAAAAAGTGTGGATATAAAGCGACATATTGAGAGAGGGAGGAAGGGGGAGTATCAGCTGTTCATAGAAAATACAATTATGAAGAAAAGAGAGAAAGAAATATTCACATAAGGAACCTTTGGCACTTGTCACCAAATACAACATTAGCTCAAAATTAAAAGATTATGCAGTGTACAATCAGGCATACACTTTAGTATAACGGAATAGTTACTTATTGATAAAATTTGAAAATATAATTGCATGAATTTAGTTAAACCGGTAGTCAATTTTAAATAAACAGAATAAAACTTGAGCAGTGTATAAATGAAACAATTATGATTTACTAAAAAAGGTTGAGTTTGTACTATTTTTTGTGTATTGGTAGTTGTTACTGTTATTGATTAAATGCAAGATTAATTTTGTGTTTCTAGTGATACTCAGAAAATATGCTTCTCATCTATACAATACTGAGTTGTCGATGTTGATGTTGTTGGTGTATTTTCATCAAACGAACTGGATAATAGTGTGAGGCACTCAAAAATTGTCGGAGAAGATTCAAGATTAGCAAAGGCTAAATCACATAAAAGATTCTCACAAGAACTTACATAACTAAAATTAAGATACAGAAAAATATAAACATTAAGTCAATCAAATCAAACAAATGAACCAAATAGTTAGTAATATTAACTACGAAAAAATGATTACTTTATTTAATAGTAATTTATATCAAAAATTGATATCAGGTAAACAATTACTAAAAAGTATGCAGTAAAAAGATGTTTCGTATAAGTTTTACATTTACCTAACCAATCATAGATAATGTGGGATTTAAGACAAATATTAATTAGTCCAATTTGCTATTACTGAATATCAACATAGTAAAAAAAAGAAAAATTAAGGAACTTAAAAGTGAGGGTCGAAATAAAATTGTTAAATATCATGAAGCAAGTAAACTATAGAATGTAAATCGGAGAGAACGAATAACATCGCAGAGAAAGTCTCCAAATCAAATATTACGATAATCGTACAAATTTATGGGCTGAAACGTAATTTAGTCGCTAGTAGCCTTCTTCCAACCTATTGAATACTAACGAATCTAGCGTATATGATTAGGGAGCAGCTGGTATATGCTTTACAGTCTTATCAATTGATTTACCATTCCCACATCTTTAAGAGATGAGTGTATGTTAATATTGAAATATTTGAGTTTTCTTTTTGTTAATTTATGAAAATAAAACTGTGATCAAATTAAGATAGGTTGAACATTTAATGTAAAAAAATATACGAGGTTACGAAATAGCCTTTGATTCACAAATTTTGTTTGACGGATCATTCAAATGATAAATTTTTGTCAAACGGAATCACGAGGAGTGGGGTTCCAGCCCATATCTTAATAAAAACTAAAACACTGATTGAGTGTAGAAGATATTCAGACTTATTGGACAATATGAAGGTTGATAGTATTTCATTTATCACAAATTACAGTAAACAAGTAATCTTTTTGATCTAAAATGTGTGCTTTTGTTGACACAATAATATTTGGGTAGTGTGACTTATACAACATTATAAAAACACGTTAAACCGAACGAAACATGGGAGAAAATATAAATAAAATTATAAGACACGGATGATTAGCGACAATTACACAAGTGATAAAATACACCTTGTAAAATACAACTAATATCGATGGTTTTATTTGGTAAATGATTGAAAAGACGTTTATTTTTCTCTCCGAAACGCTCAGATGGAATGATTATATATATACTTTACGTAGTTACCTTCTTTAAAATGTATAGAAAAATGTAAAAAGTGAAAAATCCATTTAAGCCAGTACATATCATACTGGTTAAAGAATTATTCATAATCAATCAAGGAACCAATATTTGTAAAACACGCAACGTTAAGGGTAGGATATTTGTGTAGCTTATTCAACTTGAAAATAGTTTACTTAAATAATGTTACACACTACCATACTTATAAACACAATCGAGAATAAATGAACAATTTAAGAGTACTTAAGCTGGATGATGCGATCCTACAAGGAGTATTAATTCCTTCAAGATTGTAGATACGTCTTGATGTGTGCCAACTAGTAAAAAATCTAGGTCCACGGTTTCCAGTCAACTACTTCTGACCACCTAACATAGATGTTATACATTTTATAAATAAAAATCCACTTTATCTGACACACTACAACTAAACTTTGCTTCACATAAAAGGAATGCTACAGTGATTACTAATATCTATTATTAACGAAGACTTGACACATGAATATGCAGTAATACGACATATCCCTTTTACTACAGTGAATGATAAAAAGCAGTTTGTTAAAACTACGTACCGTCGTGCAACATCACTATATTGTAATAAATTTCTTAAAGCTAGAGCCGCAGTAAGTCGGAGGTGCTTAGTTACAGGCCCTTCATGAACTGGTGTAGGTGCAAAAGGTGGATTAGGAATTCCTCCAGTCAGAGCTCTACGACACTCTTCTGATAGAATATTCGACAATTGTAATTCATCATACACGAACGGCTTTTCGATTTGACATGAAGAATGACTTGAATTTTTTTCTGAAACTGTTTCGGAATTCACTGGAGTATAAATCGGTTGATTTTTATTAACTGCAGAAGATATAACATGATCATTATTTGATAAACCATTCGGTGAAGATTCCATACTAACAGGTAATTGAATGTTGTGTTTAGCACGTAAATGATCCATCAGTATATCAAAACCGGGACCAGATATCACTTCAGAACAGTTCCCCAAACACATTTTATCTGCAAAATGAAAACCAAAATAAAATTATTAGTGATTCTCTCTCTCTCTCTCTCTCTACCTACCTACCTACCTACCTATCTATCTATCTATCTATCTATCTATCTATCTATCTATCTATCTATCTATCTATCTATCTATCTATCTATCTATCTATCTATCTATCTATCTATCTATCTATCTATCTATCTATCTATCTATCTATCTATCTATCTATCTATCTATCTATCTATCTATCTATCTATCTATCTATCTATCTATCTATCTATCTATCTATCTATCTATCTATCTATCTATCTATCTATCTATCTATCTATCTATCTATCTATCTATCTATCTATCTATCTATCTATCTATCTATCTATCTATCTATCTATCTATCTATCTATCTATCTATCTATCTATCTATCTATCTATCTATCTATCTATCTATCTATCTATCTATCTATCTATCTATCTATCTATCTATCTATCTATCTATCTATCTATCTATCTATCTATCTATCTATCTATCTATCTATCTATCTATCTATCTATCTATCTATCTATCTATCTATCTATCTATCTATCTATCTATCTATCTATCTATCTATCTATCTATCTATCTATCTATCTATCTATCTATCTATCTATCTATCTATCTATCTATCTATCTATCTATCTATCTATCTATCTATCTATCTATCTATCTATCTATCTATCTATCTATCTATCTATCTATCTATCTATCTATCTATCTATCTATCTATCTATCTATCTATCTATCTATCTATCTATCTATCTATCTATCTATCTATCTATCTATCGATTACTAGGGTATATCATATAAAGATGTAATAAATCGAGTTTTCCTGCAAACAAAAATCTACAGACGTATGGTGAATAAATCGATACTTGACGAATAGAATGTGTTGCATATTCCCTCTAAGATACAAAAAGTGTTCGTCGAGATTGCTGAACTCCCCCAATTTTATGTAATTTTGTCACAGATATCCTTTTAGAGAAAACGCTCTTATAATACGACTTTCCAGGGATTGATTACCTAACAGGAGATTCATTTGTTGACTTGCCGGCAAAATACAATTTTTCAATCATCTTGAGAAACAGTGCAACGATGATTACAATGTATTTGTCTCCCTCAAAACGCAGCTTCAGGACTAGTCTGGCAACGCCTTAACTAAATATATGAAGTGAAGAAGTTGAGTACACTGACCACTTTACTTATATTGGAGGTTTCATTAATCCAAGTGGGTTGGTGTCTGATGAAATTTCAGGACAGATTCAGAAAGATCGGCTGATTTCGTCAACTTGCGCCACCCGTGGCGTAGGCGAGATATCCGTCTGCCAAACAAAGGACGAGTACATTGTCCAGCAGTTGGCTCTGTTTATGACATGTGGCCCGTAAAAATAGAGGATATTTGTAGGTTACTAGTATTTGATGGTAGAGACCTTCGAGGCACTGGACCTGTATGTTGAGACTACCGAGTGAGTAATGCGGATGTTGGAGCCAAGGTACTCGTTCAGGATGGCAAGTTGACCGATAAAGTAATGAACCTCCATCAACTGAGGTGGTTGGGAGATGTATTACGCACGTTTAACCGCCACCTACATAGACACTCGATGATGGCTGGTATATAGATTGAAATAAAACTAGAGGAGGTCGAATCAAAACGTCATACTAACCAACGAAGTCACCAGTCGTTGAAGTGACCAATGTAGGTAGGTGCAGATTACCTGGTTGTGGTTCGCGCGATTATCGCAACTAGTGGTTAAAGACATTGTTCGCCATGGTGCAGATGCATTTACGTTTCTCCCCTTTGGATTCTTAACTATTTTAGGACTTTTTTATTTCGTGGATCATTAATTCCTTTTTTAATCACTTTTCTTTGATTAAATGTCTCTATTAACACTGATACTATAATTATTAATACCAATCTGGCCATTTATTATGTTGATGTGCTGTGGCAACTTGAATCGATGAACGTGTGTCAGGTTCTACTAGGTTCATGACTGATTAACAAAAAACGTGAATCTATTTTAATTCACATTAACGAAGTCGACAGTACTCTGGCTACAAAACTTTCAAATGAATGATGAGAAGTCAGATACATTAAAACAACACAAATTAATACAAGTGATAGCAACGCGTAAACGATGATTTAGGGACTCAGGGACTTACTTGATCTGAATTTTGAATAGATTTGTAATGAATATTTTGAAAGTGCCTGCAAAGTTCAACAGACCCTGAAAATATTTGCATACATTTATCCCACATACAGAATAATTGTACACATTTACCAAGATCAGTGGAAACCCTGTTTGTATAATTTCCTGAAATAATTGAGTCATCTAATTGCTTTGCTAGTTTGCAGCTACGATCCGATGAAGTAGATGATATGCTGTTCGGTGTTAAGGAAGACGTGATGACGTTGACTTTAGTTTTAGAAATAGTTGTAGTATGGTCAATGTTAGAACAAATCGGAATAGTGTTGTTAGCTTTATTAATTTCATGGTTCTCAGAGGTATGCATTTTGACCAACATGGGAACTTCGCTAGTTGGAGTTCCGTTGAGTGTCAAATTATGGCCCATACCATAAGTAGTAAAGACAGGAACGATCATAATCTTGGAGTCGGGTAAGGATACCACTGCTGTTGCTCGTACAGGCGTTGTACATTTCTTTTGAACACAACCATCTTCATTTGTATTTAATGAAGCATTCAGCTTCCTGAGAGGTGATCCATTATGAAGTCTAGGACAAAGCGAACCGGTCAAGAGGATGTATATATACATGGATATGTAGAATTGGAAATCTAGTATATTAGAGTGTTATAAATAAATAAAGATAGAGAAGCATATATTCTTTCAGTGTTTAAATTAGGAAGAATATCCGGAAGTGGTGTCATCACAAGTAATCTAACAACTTCAGCTAAAACTTTTAGAGCGGATCCCCGTTAACAGTCGTTTATGTGCTGTTCGGCTAAGCGGCCCGTAAGAACTCGAAAGGATAGGGACACACGTCGTTGTCTTCTCGTCGTTTCTGCCTACGCTCCCACTGACTGCAGCTCAGATGAAGTGAAAGATGAATTTTACAGAAAGCTGTCCGAACTTCTGCAGAAAGCTAAACGCTCAGACATAGTACTCGTGAGGGGCGACTTTAATGCTCAGATAGGTAGTTTAAACCAAACAGAAAGGCATTTAGGTGGATATTTTAGTATTTCGACACAGCGAACAGATAATGGTGACCGTCTGTTGCAACTATGCTCAGACAATCGTTTATTTTTAGCAAACACAAATTTTAAGCATAAGGAGAAACATCGTCTAACATGGCGACCCCCTACACCAAATCAACGATGGACTCAAATAGACCATATTGCCATCAGTCATCGTTGGAGAGGGTCGGTACAAGATTATTGCTCATTCTGGTGTACCTGCTTGGACTCCGACCATGCCCTAATACGGGCACGCATCTGCTTGCGCCTCACTGGACGCAAAAAAGCCACATTAAAAAGACCCATTAGAACTGAGTTGAGTAACGAGAAAACCAAAAGTAGGTTCCAGGAACAACTGAGTTCACACTTAGGTAGTTTTGGAAACGAGGTTGACCTAGACGTTGCTTGGAAAGTTATACAAACAGCTGTGAAATCTATCAATGATTTAAACCACAGGGTTACAAAAAACCAATGGATTTCCTCAAGGTCTATTGCACTGATGGATTCTCGTAAACTCATCCCATCAGGCTCTGAACACGATGAAGAGCGAAAACAAATCAGATCTAGGTTAAGAAAAAGTCTAAGGAACGACCGTGAGCAGTGGTGGGCAACGAAAGCAAAAGAGATGGAAAAGGCGGCGACTATAGGGAACACAAGACAGCTTTACAGACTAATAAAAGAAACTGGAATTAATAAGTCAAGTGTAAGTGAGATTATTTCGGAAAAAGACGATACCCTCATCTGCTCCCAGTCCAGACGTTTAGAACGATGGGCGGAACATTTCAGAGAACAGTTCAGCTGGCCTTCAGCTACTCTACAACTACCCTCCATTCCCAGACAGTGTGAATGGAACATTGAAGTAGGTCCCCCAACTCTTGCTGAAGTTCAAAAGGCTATAGTTAATCTGAAACGAGGAAGGGCAGCTGGTCCAGATGGATTGGCTCCAGAGGTCTTTAAGGATGGTGGTCCAATTTTAGCGATTAGGTTGACTAATATTTTAGCTAAGATCTGGGAGTTAGACGTTATCCCATCTGACTGGTCGCAATCACTTATCGTCCCAATATATAAGAAAGGGTCAAAATCATCCTGTGACAACCACAGAGGGATTAGTTTAACAAATATAGTATCTAAAATACTAGCCTCGATAATTATCAGACGCCTAACTAAGACTCGTGAACTACAAACACGAGAGAACCAAGCTGGCTTTAGACCTGGTCGTGGCTGCATCGACCACATATTCACCATTCGTCAGGTTCTAGAACACAGGCATACTATCGGCGTCCGACGATGGTGGTCTTTCTTGACTTAAAAGCAGCATTTGACTCTGTAGACCGCGAGATCCTGTGGCAGTGTCTGTCATTGAAAGGCGTACCTCAGAAGTACATAAACCTTGTGAAGGCTCTTTACTCGAACACTACTAGTCGAGTCAGGGCTTATGGCGAACTGTCATCTACTTTTGCAACCTCAAGTGGTGTCCGTCAAGGCTGCCCACTTTCTCCATTTTTGTTTAACTTCATCATAGACCTATTGATGGAAATAACACTCTCGTCGACTGAATTCTCGGGTATTGATCTCCTTCCAGGAGGTCCACTTATCGACTTAGAATACGCAGATGACATAGTCCTGTTTGGTGAAGACGCTGACAAAATGCAGAGTCTTCTGGTAGCACTAAGCAACAATGCCAGAATGTTTGGAATGCGCTTCTCTCCCTCTAAATGCAAGTTGTTGCTTCAGGACTGGTCTGCGTCAACACCTGAACTAAGGATAGGGAGTGAAGTAGTCGAACGCGTTGACAACTTCACTTATCTTGGAAGTCTGATCAGCCCTAATGGGTTGGTGTCTGACGAAATCTCAGCACGGATTCGTAAAGCTCGTTTGGCTTTTGCCAACTTACGTCACCTTTGGCGGAGGCGAGATATCCGTCTATCAATAAAAGGACGAGTATACTGCGCGGCAGTCCGTTCTGTTTTAATTTACGGCAGCGAAACATGGCCTTAAGAGTAGAAGACACCGTAAGCTACTAGTATTTGACCACAGATGCCTTAGAAATATTGCTGGCATCTGCTGGGATCACCGGGTAAGTAATAGTGAGGTTAGACGCAGGGTATTAGGGAATGATGGTAAATCAGTTGATGAGGTTATGAATCTTCATCGACTGAGATGGTTGGGCCACGTGTTACGTATGCCTGAACACCGATTACCACGACGTGCAATGCTAACCGGTGTAGGGGATGGTTGGAAGAAAGTTAGGGGCGGCCAAACCAAAACGTGGCATCAGTGCTTGAAGTCACTAACTTCTAGTCTGAGCCATGTTGGTAGATGCAGACTACTTGGTTGGGGTCCGCGTGACTATCGTAACCAATGGTTGGAGACTCTTGGTGACATGGCTCAGAATCGATCACAATGGCGTCGGTGTATACACTCTCTGTCTTCTCTTAAACTAAGAGATTAAAATCACTTCATATCTTTCTTTCTACGAACTAATTCTTTCTTCCTGTACTATATCCTTATTGCAATCTTTCTTTATATATTACCACCTCTGAATTAACTACTTTTATGAATCCGATGTTCATCTTGTTGTGCTAATGAGGTATGGCAACTTGAACCGATGCATATATGTGCCTGGTCCTACGTTGTAGCTGACTGACTGGCTAAAGCATTCGAAAATGTCATGTCATATGCCCTCATATTATGGACGTCAGAATTTAGATAGATTTTTTACAACCACTTAAATATCTTCCATAAAATACGGTATAGAACATAAGGAATGCTGAGATATCATATAGAGTAGGAACTGAAAACGAGGACCTTATTCTTATGCTTCCAAAAAGTGCAACAAACGAGACTGTTGCACAGATGCATACGATTTTCAATATTATTGATAAGCAATTTTCAGAATTTTATTTATTTATTTGAACACATAAATATTGGTACAAAGGGGCACCAAACACATGTGCGCCACACAATTTCCAGCATAACCAAAAGAATTTGAAAACTATATTTCTCGATAAGCCCCCAAATGCCCTCACATGGTCACGTACATACAACCACTGCCATGGAAGTCCTACTCACTGCCTTCTCGTGGTGGGGGTGTTTTTTACGAAATCAAAAGGACGAAAAGCGAATGTCTGGCATTTTAACCGGGTTGATGGATATGGAAGATTCACCTACGGGAGTTGGGAGACCTTGATTTTGAACCAATAGTGCACATGGGCTTCAGGATCCTAAGGAAACAAATGGCGTATGAACCTATTGTTGATCACCGGCTACCATGGGACTGAGTCTCCCTAGGTTGCTCCGTTGCCTTGTGGATTAGACCTTTAGGTTAAAGGCTCCGAGTGTGGCCTCCTAATAAAACCAGCCGCTTCAGTTTGGGCACTTGGGCAGTATCCCAGCCCTCGTACATATCAATGATAACTGCTACTGGCCTCGTTGTTATTGTGGCGCATATGTATTTAGTACCCCATTGTACCAGCCCTCACACAAATCGGATGATTTATGTGCCGTATATCGATTTGGTGCCTCCTTGTACGAATGTTTGTTTTAAAATAATAATAAGTTCTCGACAACTTACCTTGTGGTCATGTTGAGCACGTCTGTAGTATCACGAGATAAACCATTTAAAGGACAAACTAACTGTCCATTAGTTAATTTAGGGGATTCAAGATGGCCATTCAAATCACAAACATCAATTTGTGAACTTTTAAGTACCTGGTTTTGCAGATCCTCATTTTTTGAAGCCAGTTTAGGAGATGCAGGATGAAGAAAGGCCCCAGTTGCTGGTCTTTTACGGCACTGCAAAAGTATAAAGATGAAAAGTTTTTAGTACATTAGACTAGAAAACGTTATTTTCATTTATGAGATTCTATCAAAATACGATCGTACTGTTTCACAGATACACGTTAATAAATGGAAAAACTAGCTAATTAAATAACATGAAACTTGGTAACCAAGTGCATGTAGCTCTAAGCAACATTTATTGTACAAGGACTAGTGATATTGCCACAGAGCCTAAATCGAAGTAGGTGGTGGAGTTGAAATTCTTGACCCTATAATGCTTTGACTATTAGACCACCGTCTCAGGAAACTAGATATTTTAGGTTTTTTTTTAAAAAGTTATATCTGAGGTATTCGCCTAAATTTCTCCAAATAAGTTGAATATTTTATTAAACTGGATTTCACTTTACTCGGGGCATATAAAACCTGGTTTTAATCAATTAGCTAATAAAAACATTTGAAATACCAGATTCCGTATCTCAGTAACTCTCCCAGTTTTATTTTTATAATCAAGAAGTTAGGAGTAAACTAGATACTTCAGATATTTATTCTACGAATTCTGATGTATAAATATTTGGTGAGCGTTAAATTTTCTTTTACAAAATTGAGATCATAATAATAATTACAAAAAGCGATCAGTTTTTAAGTGGGAATCTATAAATAAGTGTTTAGTTCTTAATAAATATGAAACAATTATGATGCAAAAGATAAAATATATCTTAAGTAAATGATAAACAAAATAAAACTAACTTTGGTTTTTGGAGAACGTGATTCATGACACATGGATTCAATTTTGGTGGGACTTAAAACAGATGCCATAATATCATTTATGCCTAAAAAATGTGAATTGATTATACCACTTACCTTGTTGACTTTCAGGTTCAGGAGCATTAACATGTTTTAAGTTGTTGTAGTGAATTTCTACACTTCCTCCCGGTACTTGTACTTTCACCTGACCTACTCCAGGAAATATAGTTCTAAAGTGGAAGAAGATAAATTAACTAGAATCAAATGATGTGAGAATAATGACAAATAAATATTCTAATGTAGTAATAAATACATTTGTGAAACAAAATGTTTCATCTAAATTGAACAGATTACTTACTTAATTTGTGAATGGAAGTCAACAGGCGAAATCGCAACAATATTTTTGAATCGTTGTAGATGTGCTTTTTGATATTCATTATATATTTGAATACGCGGAATGCTAGAGTGATTATGTACAGCATAATTACTTTTAAGCCATTCAAACATGAATTCACGTCTATCAAGTTGAGGTATACCATTTTCAGTAGCAAGGGGCTTTGATGGTGGATTTACATGTTTTTGAATTTCTGAGTTAATAGTAGAAGGTGTGTTGAGTGCCGGTGTACTAGATAACTTTTGAGGTAAACACACTTTACTCATGAGATCATTTGTAGATGAGATACTAGTATTTACAGTAGCAGAATTCATAGGTGATGTTATGTGTGACGACTGTATCACAGATAAACCTGGCTTGCTAGTAGATGAAGACCCTGAACCTTGTTGCGTTGAAGATGTAACAGTACCAAATTCACGCATAGAAAGGTTAACTCTAGGAGTAGTAATGACTGGAAGACAATTTCTAACTAGCAAATCACGTTTATTTACACGAGAAGAATCTGTATTTTGGACTCCACTGACCGATGGATTGGCGGCTAAAAAGTTGGGACTGGTAGAAGGAGAGCTACAGCCACTAAGATTGTGAGGAAAATAACTTGGTGCTGTAGGAATTGAAGTCTTTCCAGTAGGAGTTTGCAATGTGTCACAAACACTCAAATGATAACTTGTACAACACGAAGGATGATTCAGCTATTGACGATAAAAAACAAACAAACATATTCTACTAGAATGATAGTAAATAAGGTTTGTCAAAAAAATCATTCAAGATAAACATTTACTACATACAGTTGACATCTAGGATGATGAACAACGGATACAATAAAAGTAATCTATATCTTAAACGGTGATCTTTCCAGTATGTTATTTAGAGAACTGACTTGACAGAATAAATTTTTAGTAGTCAATAAGCATGATTAAATTTAATCATAGCAAAAAATCTAAGCTTAACACCATTCAAGTACAATAATTAAAAATTCATATTTATGGAAATAAAAACGGATTCACTCATTTTTTTGTAAACGAGATCTGCGTAACAAAGATACGTTATACATAAAGTCTCGGTTGCAGTGAATATAAAAGTGGCAAACGATACATTTTTTAACACAAAATGCTAAATGTACATCATTTCAGAGCAATGGTATACAGCAGGAAATACACAAGAAACTTAAGCCTACAATATATTTATAGGATAGTTGAATGTTAGGTTGAAATAATTATCTACCTACTTTTATTTTTATGATAACACAAAATTTCTTTATAGATATTATTTTTTCGAGACATTTATTGCAGTAGGATGACCAATATATAAACATAAATGACAAGGTAACACATACCGATATAGTTAGGTTTGGTTGAGCACAGTAGACTGGCTGCTGAACTGTCGAATTTGTGGATGACGTGACTGTGGGATTTTGTGGAGGAATACATGAACTTGAAGTTGTTTGCATGATGGTGGTAGATATTGTTTTTGAAAGGGGAGAAGCGGTAGAAAATGAAGGTTTTGAAACAGATGGCTTAGTATTGGTAGATTCTGTACCCAATGCTTGCATAACACGCACGCGAATGAGACTGTCCGACCCCATAGCCTGAGCTTCCAAATTTAGTAAAGCGACAAGTAGAGAAAGAAGGCTTGAATTCTGGTGGGGTATATGAAGTTCTAAGGAAGTGGGAGAGTCCTCTTCGGGTGGTGATCCTTGTTGAAGCAGACGATCACATAAAGTAGGACCGAGACAGGTTAAACTGTGAATAGTATCTATTGCAAGAACTACTAAATGCAAATCTCGCAAACATAAAGTGCTTGCAATAGAAGAGAATGTAACAGGTGGCAATGAAGTCAGAAATGCTAAGTTACGACCAGTCCTGGTTAAAGAAACCTTTTTAGTACCTACAGGTGGAATGTTGTCGTAGGTTACATCGAAAAGCGGCGTTGAGCATAAGTTTTTCACAATCTGTAAACCTAAAAAGAAAGTCAAAATTCTTTTATTGAGTTTCTTATGCCGGTGAGATAATTTTGAAAAATTGGAAGTGCCCCGGATTGTTAGACAGAAAAAAACCTACAATGGATGAATTACGATGATAAAGAGATGTCCAGTGACCATATATAAGCTTAAATGCGAGTAAAATATAACTTTATGAGAAGTGTATAGTTTTTAGAATTACGTTGGAACACTTTAAAAAACAAATAATTCGATGAAGACGGAAAAGAACTATTGCAAACACAACCGGACAGCGGTACGTTCAGGTAAAAACAGATCAGGAGAGCGAAATTGTAAAAGTATACTTCGTTTACGTTATCGTTTGACTTCAAATCACAGTTTTGATCATACCGATTACATAACTTTCATATAATATAAATACCGTAAGTTCAATAGTAATCGAAATTAGAAAACAAGTAAACTTTATAAATCCAAAAGGAAAAAATTTTTACATTGAGGTAATAATAAACGCACCACACAAAACAAGATAAAAATAATATGAAAAAATGAAACGCGGAAAGTTGTGTGGTAATAACATGAATACATTTTGTTGCTCTTTCAACTCATCCGAGACAATGGTAACAAAAAGTCTGGTGTGAGTGAAACGATCTGGGAGGATGACGGGTTGCAAATGACTAACATCTAACGACGTCTTGGACGATAGGGAGAGTTTTTCGAGGAGCAGTTTAACCGGTCTGCTGCCCCAACAACATCGATCACACTGTCCCGCCCTTCAGGTCCTTTGACGAGTGATCCACATAACGAGGCGGAAGTCCGCAAGAAACTCCAACTCTTGCAGCGCTATAAATCACCAGGCCCAAGTGAATTACCTCCGGCCCTTTTTAAATGAGATGGTAACTTTCTAGTTAAGGAACTGAGTTGTTTACAAAGGCTTAGCAATTAGAGTGTTCCAACATCATGGAATGAGTCGATAGTTGTTTCTATCTTTAAAAAGGATTCACGTAGTCTCTGTAAAAACTGTCGGGGGTTTGGTCATGTTTACGAATGTCGTCCAGAGAATGCCTCGTCGTGCATTATTTGCTAACGTTGGGACTGGTTGGAAGAAGGGGAGAGGTGGTCAGTGTATGACATAGTGTCGTGGTCCCGACCGTTGTTGCTACCTTGACGTGGTGGTCGGGCTTGCCTATCGTGATGAAGCAACAGAGCTATACTGGCTGGAACAACCGTTCCTCAAGGTCCTACCATGTCAGACAGGTCGGTTGAAGAGTGGTAAGACTAAAAGCAACAAACCCAAGGTCCGAAGGCGAAGTCGTACTGCTGACTGTACAGAGGTGTGACAGCAGTAAGGTGTTTCCTTCAGACGACCAGCATGACAGCGATGCTGCCTTCCCACAAGGAGGGGTGGGGCTAGAAAAGGTCGACCCTAAAAATGCACACCTCGCCTTATCCCACGAATATCCATCTCCGGCGGTAAGGTCTCAACAAGTACGGAGCTAACACAAAAATTACCCATAAAAAGGTCGTGTGTGACCGACCTCAAGCAGTTGTCCCTTGGGCACTGCGGTCACGCTCTCAGTTCACTAAGACCACCTTTAATCCAATTTCCTTTTCAGGTACCTCCAGAACAACCCTTCCACGGTGTGGGCAACCGGGAAGTGATAACCGCCCTCATACTTCTAACAGCACTCAAGTCCACTGTATTCATAATCAACCTCCTTCTTCAATTCCTATTATTCCTCCTACATCGACTTTCAACTCTGTATTTCCTCTCTCGGCTTCCACCTCAAGTGTCACCGTAGCCAACGATTCTAGTGCGCAAAACACTGTCCCAGGTCTACTGAAACCTCGCTCCAAACTACACATTGGAGCCTTCAACGTACGCACCCTATGTCAAATCGGTCAGCAGGCTTCCTTGGCTAAAACCCTAGAGTCTCTTTCCATTGATGTATGCTGTTTCTCCGAAACACGCATACAGGATTTCAGTGTGGTCATTCACTTGACCTCACCTCGGCAAAACGGAGTCAGTCAGTCAGTCAGCTACAACGTAGGACCAGGCACATGTATGCATCGGCCCAGGTTGCCATACCTCATTAGCACAGCAAGATGAACACCGGATTCATAGGAGTGGTTAGGTCAAAGGTGGTAATATATAGGAGAAAGATTGCAATAAGGATATAGTATAGGAAGAAAGAATTAGTTCGTAGAAAGAAAGATGTGAAGTGATCTTAATCTCTTAGTTTAAGAGAAGACAGAGAGTGTATACACCGACGCCATTGTGATCGATTCTGAGCCATGTCACCAAGGGTCTCCAACCATTGGTTACGAAAGTCACGCGGACCCCAACCAAGTAGTCTGCATCTACCAACATGGCTCAGACTAGAAGTTAGTGACTTCAGGCACTGATGCCACGTTTTGGTTTGGCCGCCCCTAACTTTCTTCCAACCATCCCCTACACCGGTTAGCATTGCACGTCGCGGTAATCGGTGTTCAGGCATACGTAATACGTGGCCCAACCATCTCAGTCGATGAAGATTCATAACCTCATCAACTGATTTACCATCATTCCCTAATACCCTGCGTCTAACCTCACTATTACTTACCCGGTGATCCCAGCAGATGCCAGCAATATTTCTAAGGCATCTGTGGTCAAATACTAGTAGCTTACGGGTGTCTTCTACTCTTAAGGGCCATGTTTCGCTGCCGTAAATTAAAACAGAACGGACTGCCGCGCAGTATACTCGTCCTTTTATTGATAGACGGATATCTCGCCTCCGCCAAAGGTGACGTAAGTTGGCAAAAGCCAAACGAGCTTTACGAATCCGTGCTGAGATTTCGTCAGACACCAACCCATTAGGGCTGATCAGACTTCCAAGATAAGTGAAGTTGTCAACACGTTCGACTACTTCACTCCCTATCCTTAGTTCAGGTGTTGACGCAGACCAGTCCTGAAGCAACAACTTGCATTTAGAGGGAGAGAAGCGCATCCCAAACATTCTGGCATTGTTGCTTAGTGCTACCAGAAGACTCTGCATTTTGTCAGCGTCTTCACCAAACAGGACTATGTCATCTGCATATTCTAAGTCGATAAGTGGACCTCCTGGAAGGAGATCAATACCCGAGAATTCAGTCGACGAGAGTGTTATTTCCATCAATAGGTCTATGATGAAGTTAAACAAAAATGGAGAAAGTGGGCAGCCTTGACGGACACCACTTGAGGTTGTAAAGGTAGATGACAGTTCGCCATAAGCCCTGACTCGACTAGTAGTGTTCGAGTAAAGAGCCTTCACAAGGTTTATGTACTTCTGAGGTACGCCTTTCAATGACAGACACTGCCACAGAGTCTCGCGGTCTACAGAGTCAAATGCTGCTTTTAAGTCAAGAAAGACCACCATCGTCGGACGCCGATAGGTATGCCTGTGTTCTAGAACCTGACGAATGGTGAATATGTGGTCGATGCAGCCACGACCAGGTCTAAAGCCAGCTTGGTTCTCTCGTGTTTGTAGTTCACGAGTCTTAGTTAGGCGTTTGATAATTATCGAGGCCAGTATTTTAGATACTATGTTTGTTAAACTAATCCCTCTGTGGTTGTCACAGGATGATTTTGACCCTTTCTTATATATTGGGACGATAAGTGATTGCGACCAGTCAGATGGGATAACGTCTAACTCCCAGATTTTAGCCAAAATATTAGTCAACCTAGTCGCTAAAATTGGACCACCATCCTTAAAGACTTCTGGAGCCAGTCCATCTGGACCAGCTGCCCTTCCTCGTTTCAGATTAACTATAGCCTTCTCAACTTCAGCAAGAGTTGGGGGACCTACTTCAATGTTCCATTCACTCTGTCTGGGAATGGAGGGTAGTTGTAGAGTAGCTGAAGGCCAGCTGAACTGTTCTCTAAAATGTTCCGCCCATCGTTCTAAACGTCTGGACTGGGAGCAGATGAGAGTATCATCTTTTTCCGAAATAATCTCACTTACACTTGACTTATTAGTTCCAGTTTCTTTTATTAGTCTGTAAAGCTGTCTTGTGTTCCCTATAGTCGCCGCCTTTTCCATCTCTTTTGCTTTCGTTACCCACCACTGCTCACGGTCGTTCCTTAGACTTTTTCTTAACCTAGATCTGATTTGTTTACGCTCTTCATCATGTTCAGAACCTGATGGGACGAGTTTGCGAGAATCCATCAGTGTGACAGACCTTGAAGAAATCCACTGGTTCCTTGTAACTCTGTGGTTTAAGTCACTAACAGATGTCACTGCTGTTTCCACAGCTGCTTGTATGTCCTTCCAAGCAACATCTGGGTCAGCCTCGTCTTCACAACTAACTAAGTGTGACCTCAGTTGTTCCTGGAACCTACTTTTGGTTTTCTCGTTACTCAACTCAGTTCTAATGGGTCTTTTTAATGTGGCTTTTTTGCGTCCATTGAGGCGCAAGCAGATGCGTGCCCGTATTAGGGCATGGTCGGAGTCCAAGCAGGTGCTCCAGAATGAACGACAATCTTCTACCGACCCTCTCCAACGATGACTGATGGCAATATGGTCTATTTGAGTCCATCGTTGGTTTGGTGTAGGGGGTCGCCATGTTAGACGATGTCTCTCCTTATGCTTAAAATTTGTGTTTGCTAAAAATAAACGATTGTCTGAGCATAGCTGCAGCAGACGATCACCATTATCTGTTCGCTGTGTCGGAATACTAAAATATCCACCTAAATGCCTTTCTGTTTGGTTTAAACTGCCTATCTGAGCATTAAAATCACCTGCTACGAGTACTATGTCTGAGCGTTTAGCTTTCTGAAGAAGTTCGGATAGCTTTCTGTAAAATTCATCTTTCACTTCATCTGAGCTGCAGTCAGTGGGAGCGTAGGCAGAAACGACAAAAAGGCAACGACGTGTGTCCCTATCCTTCCGAGTTCTTACGTAGCCGTTCAGCCGAACAGCACATAGACGACTGTTGACGGGGATCCACTCTAGCAGTGCTTGTTCGGCCCTTATGCTTAGTGCTATGCCTACACCTGCCAGTCCACGAGAACTTGCCATCGGGTCACCGGACACACGAAGGGTGTATCTCGTTGGCTCTCCGTCTTGCCGAGGTGAGGTCAAGTGAATGACCACACTGGAATCCTGTATGCGTGTTTCGGAGACACAGCATACATCAATGGAAAGAGACTCTAGGGTTTTAGCCAAGGAAGCCTGCTGACCGATTTGACATAGGGTGCGTACGTTGAAGGCTCCAATGTGTAGTTTGGAGCGAGGTTTCAGTAGACCTGGGACAGTGTTTTGCGCACTAGAATCGTTGGCTACGGTGACACTTGAGGTGGAAGCCGAGAGAGGAAATACAGAGTTGAAAGTCGATGTAGGAGGAATAATAGGAATTGAAGAAGGAGGTTGATTATGAATACAGTGGACTTGAGTGCTGTTAGAAGTATGAGGGCGGTTATCACTTCCCGGTTGCCCACACCGTGGAAGGGTTGTTCTGGAGGTACCTGAAAAGGAAATTGGATTAAAGGTGGTCTTAGTGAACTGAGAGCGTGACCGCAGTGCCCAAGGGACAACTGCTTGAGGTCGGTCACACACGACCTTTTTATGGGTAATTTTTGTGTTAGCTCCGTACTTATTGAGACCTTACCGCCGGAGACGGATATCCGTGGGATAAGGCGAGGTGTGCATTTTTAGGGTCGACCTTTTCTAACCCCACCCCTCCTTGTGGGAAGGCAGCATCGCTGTCATGCTGGTTGTCTGAAGGAAACACCTTACTGCTGTCACACCTCTGTACAGTCAGCAGTACGACTTCGCCTTCGGACCTTGGGTTTGTTGCTTTTAGTCTTACCGCTCTTCAACCGACCTGTCTGACATGGTAGGACCTTGAGGAACGGTTGTTCCAGCCAGTATAGCTCGGTTGCTTCATCACGATAGGCAAGCCCGACCACCACGTCAAGGTAGCAACAACGGTCGGGGGCAAAACGGAGAGCCAACGAGATGCACTCTCCGTGTATCTAGTGACCCGATGGCCAGTTCTCGTGGACTGGCAGGTGTAGGCATAGCACTACGCATGAGGGCCGAACAAGCACTGCAAGACTGGATCCCCGTTAACAGTCGTTTATGTGCTGTTCGGCTAAGCGGCCCCGTAAGAACTCGAAAGGATAGGGACACACGTCGTTGTCTTCTCGTCGTTTCTGCCTACGCTCCCACTGACTGCAGCTCAGATGAAGTGAAAGATGAATTTTACAGAAAGCTGTCCGAACTTCTGCAGAAAGCTAAACGCTCAGACATAGTACTCGTGAGGGGCGACTTTAATGCTCAGATAGGTAGTTTAAACCAAACAGAAAGGCATTTAGGTGGATATTTTAGTATTTCGACACAGCGAACAGATAGTGGTGACCGTCTGTTGCAACTATGCTCAGACAATCGTTTATTTTTAGCAAACACAAATTTTAAGCATAAGGAGAAACATCGTCTAACATGGCGACCCCCTACACCAAATCAACGATGGACTCAAATAGACCATATTGCCATCAGTCATTGTTGGAGAGGGTCGGTACAAGATTATTGCTCATTCTGGTGTACCTGTTTGGACTCCGACCATGCCCTAATACGGGCACGCATCCGCTTGCGCCTCACTGGACACAAAAAAAGGATGGTGGTCCAATTTTAGCGATTAGGTTGACTAATATTTTAGCTAAGATCTGGGAGTTAGACGTTATCCCATCTGACTGGTCGCAATCACTTATCGTCCCAATATATAAGAGAGGGTTAAAATCAGCCTGTGACAACCATAGAGGTATTAGTTTAACTAATATAGTATCTAAAATACTAGCCTCGATAATTATCGGACGCCCAACTAAGACTCGTGAACTGCAAACACGAGAGAATCAAACTGGCTTCAGACCTGGTCGTGGCCGCATCGATTACATATTCACCATTCGTCAGGTTCTGGAACACAGACATACTCATCGGCGTCCGATAATGGTTGGCTTTCTTGACTTGAAAGCAGCATTTTACTTTGTATACCGCGAGATCCTGTAGCAGTGTGTCATTGAAATGCGTACCTCAGAAGTACATAAACCTTGTGAAGGCTCTTTGCTCGAACACTACTAGTCGACTCAGAGCTTATGGCGAACTGTCATCTGCTTTTGCAACTTCAAGTAGTGTCCGTCAAGGCTGTCCACTTTCTCCATTGTTGTTTAACTTCATCATAGACCTACTGATGGAAATAGTCAGTCAGTCAGTAACAACGTAGAACTTCGTACGTACGTAAATCAGTTCGAGTTGCCATACTACATTAGCACAGAGATGGAAATAACATTCTCGTCGACTGAATTTTCGGGTATTGATCTCCTTCCAGGAGGTCCACTTATCGACTTAGAATATGCAGATGACATAGTCCTGTTTGGTGAAGAGGCTGACAAAATGCAGAGTCTTCTGGTAGCACTACGCAACAATGCCAGAATGTTTGGAATGCGCTTCCCTCCCTCTAAATGCAAGTTGTTGCTTCAGGACTGGACTGCGTCAACACCTGAACTAAGGATAGGGAGTGAAGTAGTCGAGCGCGTTGACAACTTCACTTATCTTGGAAGTCTGATCAGCCCTAATGGGTTGGTGTCTGACGAAATCTCAGCACGGATTCGTAAAGCTCGTTTGGCTTTTGCCAACTTACGTCACCTTTGGCGGAGGCGAGATATCCGTCTATCAATAAAAGGACGAGTATACTGCGCGGCAGTCCGTTCTGTTTTAATTTACAGCAGCGAAACAGGGCCATTAAGAGTAGAAGACACTCGTAAGCTACTAGTATTTGACCACAGATGCCTTAGAAACATTGCTGGCGTCTGCTGGGACCACCGGGTAAGTAATAGTGAGGTTAGACGCAGGGTATTAGGGAATGATGGTAAATCAGTTGATGAGGTTATGAATCTTCATCGACTGAGATGGTTGGGCCACGTGTTACGTATGCCCGAACACCGATTACCACGACGTGCAATGCTGACAGGTGTTCGGGATGGTTGGAAGAAGGTTAGGGGCGGCCAAACCAAAACCTGGCATCAGTGCTTGAAGTCACTAACTTCCAGTCTGAGCCATGTTGTTAAATGCAGACTACTTGGTTGGGGTCCGCGTGACTATCGTAACCAATGGTTGGAGACTCTTGGTAACATGGCTCAGAATCGATTACAATGGCGTCGGTGTATACACTCTCTGTCTTCTCTTAAACTAAGAGATTAAAATCGCTTCATATCTTTCTTTCTACGAACTAATTCTTTCTTCCTGTACTATATCCTTATTGCAATCTTTCTTTTATATATTACCACCTCTGAATTAACTACTTTTATGAATCCGATGTTCATCTTGTTGTGCTAATGAGGTATGGCAACTTGAACCGATACATATATGTGCCTGGTCCTACGTTGTAGCTGACTGACTGACTGACTAGTGTCGTGGTATAAAAAGAAAGCTGTAAACGGCTGGCTTCTGTCGGTCCTTGGAGTCCTAGAGATGGTGCAACACAGTGGCTTTAGAGGTTGTTAGATATAGCTCAGAATAGAAGTCAGTGGCGATCTTGCTGTAACCGCATAAAAAATGGACGTAACTTCCTTAACTGGAATTCTTTCTGGTTGTACCTTTGCGAACTGAACTACCTTTCTCATTGTAATTATTTCACTATCATACACTAAATCCTGTTAGTCATTGTTCTCTTTTTTCTTATATATACTTTCTCAATCTCTTGACATTCTCATTATTATTGTATAGCGTATAAGCATTTGGTGCCCCTTTGTACCAACATTTATGTGTTCAAATAAATAAATAATCCATTCAAAAATACTGAATGTAATTTACATTATTGGAGAACAAATTATTTTTGTATAGTTGGTGAGAATTTGTTTTTCAATGATCGATGGTTGACAGTTGGAAATAGTAAGATAGTTGTGCAAGCAACTGAGAAAGTTGTTAAGACTGAATGTGTTTTGGCCTTATAAAAACCAAAGCCTGGCAAGTCAATCGGAACAACTCTTAGCGTAATTGCGACGTCTAAAAGTTAAACAAAGTTGGTAGTAGATTTTAAAGTTACGACCCATAAGCTGATTATTTTAGCGATGATAACATAATTGTCGATCTATCCTGTTAATCGATAAATCAGAAGTAGGAAGTACTTCAAACCACGTGATAGTTAATAACACGCTATTAAACTATGAACAATGCTGCTACTTCATAAAATCTCGACATTACTAATAAATTCATTACAAACTATTTCAATTACTTTTTGTGTCAATATTAGTTGAATTGATACTTAAGTGTTTGTCATGTTCCTCGATAACAAATGAATTTGATAATCAACTTACCACGGATGCGATCTATTCGATCAGGACAAACTAACAAAGTAGTGAGCAAACGATGGAGGGCAGGTATAAGTGAACCAAGAACTGGAAAATACAATGAAGATAATATTTCTAAACCAAGCTGATGTAGACACGAGTGTTTGGAATATATACATAAGAAAATGAAACGCAAGGCTTGGGGATTTCGTCCGATAATGACAGCACTTAATCCATCATCTACAGCCAAGTTACGTAGTACTGTAGCGACTAGTTGTACACGAAAAGCTTCTTCATCACCATATGTCATCTCTTGAACAGCAGGAGGATAACAAAATTCATCATAAATAACCTCAGGAAGCTTTTCTGAAATAGTAAAAAAATACAAAGTGCTGAGTGCAGTAAAGAATGTAGAATTAAAACGACACTATCAAGAAATAGGTAAAGACAAGTACTGGTACTTTCACATAAAATTAACACCACCCACCGGTTGACTATTAGTAATTTTCGTTAGCATATAATTCGAAATAACAAATTTAGTAAGACTGAAAATGTGATAGTCACTGATTTGTACAAATGTAAGTTTTTAGCTACTTTATGCATTTCTACTATTTCGGTTATTTCATCATATGATAGTGAGAAACTAGTAGTAAAATAATTTTAATGAACTGCAACAAGAGACGCGGAATGACCCAACTTTGTATACTTGTTCATGTATACATACATGTCTTGTAATTATTTTCAGAAGGGGTTTGTGGAGATTTTAGAAATTTCACAGATTGAAATCATGAGTCAATTGAAGCTAGACCACCATGGAAAACCTGGAAGCACTAGACGGCGCGAGACTGATAGGTCCTGGGTTCGAATCTCGCGGGGCGCGGGATCGTGGATTAGCACTGCTGAGGAGTCCCATACTAGGACGAAACGGCCGTCCAGTGCTTTGAGTTTTTCCATGGTGGTCTAGCTTTAATTGGTTCATGATTTCAATCTGTGAAATAATTATTTGTTGAAATGAGTCGGGATACAGAAAACCTGACAATTAGTGGTTCCGAAATGCTAATATTTGATTACTAAATGAGAAAAATTCGTAAGTTGCAGTGCTAAAATATCTACTCTCAAAAAAAACCCAAAGACAATTACTGATGCCTCATATTTACCGAAGCTGTACATTAATAGATCAATTGAGTTATGCTGTATTGCGTCAAGCGTAGTGTCCAACGAACGTACCATATATGTGAGGCTTCTGGTGCTTTATAAATTTTGGTTATATGGCAGGATATTTTAAGATATTTTTCAAGCAGAAATGATGAGTAGTGTTTCTTAGTGATGTACATTTTTCAATAGTATTCAGCTTACACAGTACTGGATACCATGCTTACGATTTTTCAAGGAATGGTTTATATAAGCGTCCTTCGAATCGCATACAATACTTAAACGTAATTATTCTACTTAGTGAAGACTTTTTTTATACCTAGAATAGATTTTACTTTAAGAGAATGATTTCTACATATGTCTGGATTAACGACTGGGAGAAGAGAGATTGGTTGAATCGAATACTTCAATGACTTAAGGCGTTGAGTCAACAAAGGCGGATATAATTCATCATCAATTAAACTAAAGTGTGGCACACAGGTATCCGAATATCTATTGAGGCAGGGGCAATTGATACACAGATTTCCCACCTATTTTCAAACACTAACAATAAACATAGAATATGTATTTTGTAGGACTTCCAATAGTATTAAAAAATTCGATGGTACGAAGCTCATTTACAGATCTTAGGGATAAATAATTGATGAAATAAGATAGAAGTAGGTCATATTTAGTTGTACAACAAGTCTATGTTGTTCGTACTTTTAAAATTAAAATTCTTTTTAGGATAATAGCCCCATATGAGAGCCAGCCACCAAAAGTTATCGACAGCAAATTTGAGAAAAGCAGACAGTTTAGTTTTACTTTACTATTTGAAGATATGTAAATGACGTTAATATTAGGACAAAGTAAGTTGAATGAGGGAAAACCGATTGAGATGATGCAGATCTACATATACCGAGACGATGATTATTTCGACAAGTTATAAAACGAAAGTGAGAATTTAGGATACGCAGAATGAAACAGTATCGATGCACATAGTTTTTAACAAACACGCATATTGGTATCCTGAGAAATTATGAATCCAAAACAAGTCGAAATACGAGTGAAGCAAGGAAACTTTTGTGTTGTTGTAAGAGCAATCTATTGATTGCAATATGTATATAGTTGTCCAGTGAAGAGAAAAAAATGAGTTAACAGACTATCTTTATCTAATAAGTTACGTCAAACGCTTTAAGTTGTTACATTCTACATAACTGTATGAAAAGTAAGGAAACAAAGGAGACATGCGACAAGGTAGGTAACCTGAGCGTTGAAGGACAAGTCCGTTTAGTCAAACTTGAACCATAATTATGTAAGGGGTAGTGATATTGTTCAATTATCTTAAGTCACTTGGTCTCCTCAGTAGTGGGGACCGATTACGGATAAATTAATAAGATAACCCATACACCAGGTACTTGAATATGAGTTATATTGTGTGAAAGTTATTGATACCACCTGGTAAGCCAAACAGGGGGGTGATTTCTTCATTTCTATAAACTTTATTAAACACAATGATTGCCAATTATTACAAGCCAAAAATCCGTAATATCGAGTATTTCAGTTCCCTAACCTGTTCGTATAACAGGTTTGTGAATTGATTGATTTAAACTAAGAAACTGATTTCTATTTTATTTAAATTAAATCTGCATCTCAGAATAGACTTAAGGAACGGTATGTAGGTAGCACCAACTCATCCTAAAATTATGATTCGAAAAATTGAATGTCTTTCAGCTAATATAGAGAATTTTGGGTCATAACACTTTCGACACTGAAAAACGTTTATGCATTACCCAGAAAGCCTACACGATTAACAGCTGATTTCAGTTCACTATGTAGCGTAATAGAGTTAAAACAAAAAATGATAGCTGCATCAAAGCGTCGAGTCATTTGGTGAAATCACTGACTGTTTTGAATGACATTCAGGCTATGCTATACAACATATGGTGTATGGTGCAGACAGTATAACCTGTAGGACCAAAGCGATCACATTAAAGTTACTTAGTAATAGCAAAGTTTATATTCAGCCTAGAATTAAATCAGAAGAGAGGATCAACTAAAAGTCATTATCTAGAAGTAGTCGATTGCTATGTTTAGTTATTCGACACTGCAACGTTGACTTGATATTGTTTGTAAATGCCTAAATAACAGTTGACTAAGCCGACAAGGCGAGGTAGGGAAGGCTTTAACAAGTTGTTAAAAAGTAAGGCAAATAATCTAACGCGAACAATGGAGCAGTTGATGAAATAGTAAGCACCTGACTTTAAAAAGTAGATTAGCCGGTTTGAATCTGGTTTCACCAACTTTGGTTCAGACAGCTGTGTACTATCATTAGATTTAGCGAACCTAAAGGTGTGGCTTACAGTCGAGTGTGTAAAAGAATACTTATTAGTGAAGTTACAATATTGTCAAATATGAGATCATGCAATTAGCTTATATGAATAAAGTAGATGCTGACAAGGTGTATAAACCAAGGTATGTACGAATGATCGTAAACTAATAAAAGTAATCTACCATAGCTAATTTAAACACGTCAAACGAATACTAGTAATACATGCAACACTTCATTGTTCCGAATGGATAAGATGTAAAGGATGGAACGATTCTGAATACAATTCTCCAAATACATCCATAATCGTATGCTAAATCACTCCAGTAATCGTACTTGGTCTTCGGAATCAGAAATCTTGGAGCTTCATCAAAAGGCTTGAATACTGAGTGATAACATTGGAAAATAACAAAACACCAATACACGATGCCATCAGTCATATTGGTCTGGTTTCCAGATATCAATGGGTTTTCATGGTTTACTAAATTTGTTCCTTTTAACATAAAATGGATTAGTTACGTTTGAGTTTGAGGTACATAGGACAGTAAATGATACCGAAGAATTGAATTAGGAATGTCATACATGACCATTTAGCATTATACTGTTAAGGGACCGAGATTTGATTTCGTAACAAGACTACCATTATATCTTTATCCCAATCTAACGGAATATTCTAAATGCCGAGAATTGGAGATGATAAAACTAGTTGGATTCTGTATGGACAAACAACAGCTTTTAGATGATATTAAACTAAATGATTTTAGAAACAATCTAAGACTTAAAAACAGTAATACGCCAGAAAAGTATGGTACAGTGGTATTCTTGATAACTTACTTGAGTAGAAGGCAATGGGAGAAAGAAATACTCGTCCATTCTCTTTGTCAATATTTGATTCCCAAAACTAGAATTGATTAATAAAATATAGAGCACTTACATTGAGGTATCTGCTGTATTGGTACGTCGTGACATGTTCTGGAATAAAATATGGATCTATATAATGAATTAAGGATCGGAACTTACTTGGTCCGTAAATGCCAACAGTATATAACAGAACATCCAGAAGCCTAGGATTTTTACTAATACTGAAGTCATTTGGTTGAGAAGACATAAGAAGGATTGTGTTTAACGCAAGCTCAATTTCATTAGGAAGCCCTGACAATAATGATTTTTCTAATGAAATGTATTCGAAATCATCTTTTAAATCGATACTCAAATTCCAACTTTTTCGCAAGTGATTGGGTATTTCTTCAGTATTAAAACGAACAGAAGCCCCATAAATGTTTTGTCTAGACGATTTTAGGAACTGATCGAAATCCTTTAGAAAGTTAATCACCAGTAATGGTAAAAACGAACCTGAGCATCACCGTCAAAGTAAGTAACAGCATCATCCTGTTCATCGGATGTGAAAATGCTTCTTGACGTCATTCGTTGGTTTCTTTCGAATAACTCGAGATACCTCTGATAAATAGTGCGCAATCCATGGCCTGCATCGACACAGCCTGGTGGCAGACCTAAGGCTAGATAAACTTCCAACCACAGGTGGGAAAAAGTAACCTATGACAAGAACACTAGATGATTGTTTTCTGACTTACTTGTTTGTGACCACCTCGCAGGGCAACTTCGTTGTACAGCTTTTGTAAATCAATTAAGTGTCCAAAAAGATAGGGCGGTTGTAAAACAGCATTTTGTCTGGAAGATATATAAAACAAAACTGAAGCTGTTACAAACCTGTTATGCCTTGAAAGCTTTTGAAGTTCTAGCATAAACTGGTCATATGGCTTCATGCATAATGGTAGGGAACTCATCAGGGAGTAAAATCGACTTTTGTTTTTTGACATTGTGTTCTATGCTTATTTGAAGGTTATTTAGGATTACGCCTGAAGACGAGTCCACATCCCAACGGGAAAATACGTTCCACTCCTAACATTTTTTAAATATCGAAATGATAAATGGATTGTGTGCAGGTTTAGATTGACGGTTGAGAATTAGTATGTAGGCCTGTCTGCACACAATTACGCAATTCACCAGCCTTAATATGATTTTGCTCGACTGGTTCAATAAATTTCCAGAGCAAGGGTGTGAGGTTTAGCACGGACAACGCATACTGGTCTCACCGAAGTGGAATGTGGTAAAGGAAAATAATCTCTTCCTAAACACTATTTGATTACTCTGAACAAAAAAACTCTATGCACACTGCCAAAAGCAAATATAAATAGTCAGCCCTGAAAGCCTTCATAAAGGATGATCGTATGACAAACACATAGCGATACCTAATGCACGCGTGCTGTCTATCAAACATAGTGAAAGGTCAGACAGGCACTAGGTCATTGATCAAAGTAGCGATTAAATGAAGAACAACTGGGATAGGAAAACGAAGATACAGTCAGCCAATCAAATCTCTCCCTAGTGCAAATAGGTTGAAAGCAAGGAGACGTATAGCTGATATAAGAAAAGACAGGGTTATATGGAACGAATCAACGTGTTGGATGTAATGTTTAAAACAACTAATTCTTTTCAGGTAAAGTTATAAAGTCAAAATGAAAGTGAATTATAATTTCAAATAATCAAGCTAAAATTCGCTAATTATTAATTTTAGAAATTAGCCCGCTTACTACGATTTCCCTTACTTCGTGTCACAGCGCGATTTACAAACGTCCTGACGTTGTAGGCCGCGTATTGTATGACTAAATATCTTCTGTAAGTAAGCGATCATCATATTTACTTATTCTTGGACTGCACCTCCATAGTTAATTTAGAAAGGGTTATTGGTTCTTAAAAACTTAGCTCCTTATGTTGTGGTGGAATCCTAGAGATCTTTTAAATTCATATTCTTGTACTTAGTGTCTACACATCATATGTTTATTAAAATTGATAACTAACTTCACTTAATCATTCTCCAAGTCTGGAATGATGCCTACTTTTTCCAATGTTATCATAAGTCGACCAAATTGTCCAACAACATTACCTTCAGTGTTGTACGAAAGTGGCGAGACTATAATTTACGGACAGATATAACATGACGTTTGTCGGATTTTGGCATAAAGTTCACACATTCATTTGGTTAAATAGGGTTTTGGCATTATGGCTGATGTTATTTCGTGGTGAAAACCCCAAATCTAATATCTAACATTGACCATCAACTGTAAATCATAATTCTAATTCCTAACACTGGTTTGTAATCCTTATTTGGTCCTAGTTACTAGGTGGACAATCTCAAGGTCAGCCTAGCGTTGCTCAAAGGTCGTCCATAAATATTAATCTCCGAAAACTTTAAGGATGGTCCTCTGAAGTTATACGAGAAGCTGTTAAGTATATTTGGAAAAACCTTGAAGTTCAGATTAACTCTACCTGAATAATCTCGTTAGTTTTTTGTTTCAGTCTATTAGGTACGACAAATTCTTTCATCTCAACTACTTAGAAACTTGAATGATAACTATGGTTTCTGAAATATTCGTTTAAATGGTCATCTTGTGCAAGAATGGAATCTATAGAAAGCAGACAGCAATAAAAGTCGAGTGAATTTTACTCCTGGTTATAGGCGTGTTGGTCATATCTTCAACCTTCGTCTGTGTTTTTGTGACACAGTCCTTCATCCTAAAATACAGAGGCTCATCGACTTAATGTGGTAAATCAATCGATTGGTTGGTTGTGCAGTTAGGTGTGAGGTACTAGGAAAAATGGCAAATCAGTTGGCTGAGTTTTATATTACTCATTCGCACTGCAATAGGGGCTATTTCGTGTTGAAAGAAAGCTCAGTTTAGACCAATTAAGATTTAAACGGAAAGAGCAACAATACTTTAAGTCCACTGTCCCTCATTCCTGTCTTCAGCTACATACAATTTAATAAGCTCAGTCATTTACCACAACATTAAATTTGAAAAGTAAACTGTCCTTCAGTGAGGAATAAGTTTTTCGCTTTGTGAAACATTTTTAATTGCTCGGGGTGGTTCTGAAATATTCAAGATAATTCTACTGTACAATGTGACAAGAAAGTGGAGTATTTGGGAAGAAATTGAACATTGGTTAAGCTCAGACTGATTATGGTCAAGTCAAAATGTATCCTTTAATTTTTTTTACCAAGACAGTTGAAGATTATTTACTGACTCTCCAATGATCAGGTTTAAGCATTCCGATACCTGCAGCTTCCATCAGTTTTAATATAGTTGTGTTAGGTTGTTTGTTGGTCACCTTAAATGCACTTCTTGCAGCAACATGCTGTCAAACTATTGAGGCCTTTTTGCCTTTGGAGTTACTCGTTTTTGTAAATATACTCAATAAAACGAGTAGAAGCCCGTTCTTCTGCCATTACAGTGTACATTGGGCTGAGCTGTCCATTGTACTCCATGCTTCCCTTCAGATGTCGAGCTTTTTATAATCCAGTCAACCACCAGAAGAAAAAGAAAGTAGGAGAGTAAGCAGTCTTATCTGACTCCGTTCCTTACATGAAATGCGTCCTTCAGCTCTCCGTCATGCACCACTTTGCAGTGTAAACTGTCGTATGAAATCCGTATGATGTTGACGATTTTCTCAGGTAAACTATAGTGTCGAAGAAGGTTCCATAATGTTCTATGCACGCTCTCAAACGCCTCAGAGTCAAGGAAGTTGATGTATAGTGACAAGTTCCATTCAGTGTATTGTTCAACGACGATGTGTAGTGTTGTAATTTAGTTTATGCTCGACCGACCCTTACGGAATCTGACTTGTTGATTCCGAAGTTGGACGTCTACTGAACAATACATGGAAACTTCCTGGTATCAACAATGATGTTGTTCCTTTGTAGTTCTCACACTTTCTCCGATTGTTGCCTGGTATCTTTTTCAAGTGTCCTTCTTTATAGTCTGTCGTGACTTGTTCTTCCTCCCAGATCTACCTAAATAGAATGTGGAGCGTCTTTGCAGTCATTTCTTTCTGACTTCAGTGCTTCAGCTGATAGGTTTCCAGGTCCTGATTTTTCCCCAATTTTGATTTACCTGATGGTCATGTTGATTTCTTCGATCGTTGATGGAGTAGCAGCCATGGGAAGGACTCTGTGCGGCCTCGATTTCCTGTAAATTTAGTAGAACTAGCCTATTCAAGAGTTCCTCAAAGTATTCAACCCACCTGTTCCGCTGTTCTTGAATCTCAGTGATTGGCTTATCTTCTCTGTTCTCGACTGGTTGCTCTTGTTTACAATATTCCTCTGCTAGTTTCTTCATTGTGTCATATTCCCTTCTCTTGCAGCTTTTTCTGCTGTCATTGTTAGTTTACTTACTTACGCCTGTTACTTCTCGCGAAGGAGCATAGGCCAGTCACCAGCATTCTCCACCCAACCCTGTCCTGGGAAATCTTTTCCAGCTCCTTCCAGTCATTATTCATCCTTTTCATATCTGCTTCGATTTCCCGACGTAATGCGTTCTGTGGCCTTCCTCTTTTCCGCTTCCCTTCAGGATTCCAAGTTAGGGCTTGCCTCGTGATGCAGTTTGATGAGTTGCGTAATGTATGTCCTATCCATTTCCATCGTCTTTTCCTAATTTCTTCTTCAGCTGGAAGCTGGTTTGTTCCTTCCCAGAGAAGGCTGTTGCTGATGGTATCCGGCCAATGGATGTTTAGTATCTTGCGTAGTCAACCATTTATAAATACTTGTACCTTCTTGGTGGTTGTTGTAGTTTCAGCTCCGTTTAGTAAAACTGCCTTGACATTCGCATTGAAGATTCTCACTTTGATATTGGTTGAAAGTTTTGAGTCCCATATGTTCTTCAATTGTAGGGATGTGGCCCTTGTTTTGCCAATCCTCGCCTTTATATCTGCATCTGAACCTCCTTGTTCATCGATGATGCTTCCCAGGTATGTGAAGGACTCTACATCTTCCAGAGTTTCGTCATCAAGAGTGATTGGATTGCTGTTCTTCATGTTATATTTGAAAACCTTGGTTTTCCCTTTGGGTATGTTGAGGCCTATTGATGCAGAGACTGCCGCTACACTGACTGTCTTTATCTGCATTTGTTCATGTGTATGCGATAGGAGGGTTACGTTATCTCAGTCAGTCAGTAACAACGTAGAACTTCGTACGTACGTACATCAGTTCGAGTTGCCACACCACATTAGCACAGAGATGCAGTGATCGATTCAAATCTCGTAGTGCTAGATGTAGTAAAATTATAAGCTGCAATCAGAAAAATTAGGGTTTGAAGATGTTATTCAAGGAGTATAATCCAGTGAAGTAAATTTGGAAAGAGAAAAAAGAAAGGGATATGAAGAATTCAGAAGATTAGAATTTGGGAGAACACAAAGAGTGAATGCACCTGCACCATTGCAAACGATTTTGAGCCATGTCATTCAGGATCTCTAACCATCGGTTGCTATCATCTCGCGGTCCTCAACCAGGTAGTCTACATCTACCAATATGACTCAGTCTACTTGTCAGTGACTTCATAGACCTGTGCCATGTTTTGACCTGGTCGCCCCTAGCTTTCTTCCAACCTATTCCTATACCACTGAACATCGCACGTCGAGGCAGTCGGTGGTTGGGCATACGTAACACGTGTCCCAGCCATCTCAACTGATGAAGTTTCACTACGTCATCAATTGATTTGCCATCCTTACCTACAACCCGTTTCCTAACAACTGCATTACTTACTCGATGGTCCCAGGATATACGAGCAATATTTCGAAGATACCTATGATCAAATATTAGTAACCTACGTATATCCTCTACTCTTACCGGCCATGTTTCACTGCCATAAAGTAGGACGGAACGAACTGCTGCGCAGTAAACACGTCCTTTGGTTGATAGACGGATACCTCGCCTACGCCATAAATGACGCAAGTTGGTGAAAGCTAGTCGAGCCTTCTGTATCCG